AGGTGTTCATAACCTCTTCAAGATGACAGTTTTGCACTTGCTGAGTGTCAGGACCAAGAATAGGTGGTGAGTCAGACATAGACCCCCCTCCCTGCTTCGAGCACACAGAACAGGCGGGTTCCCTGGGTCTCTTTTGGGTGTTGCTTTCAAGATCTTATTAGCTCGTCTTTCTTTATATTGTGGCCATTGTCTTCTGCCTCTCAGAACTTCATATGCTTGTTTTGCCTGCATGTATGTGTATAAATGTACCATAGCATGCCTCATGCCTGCAGAGTTCAGAATAGGGTGTCGGATCTCCAGGAACTAGTGTTACAGACAGTTGTGAGCCACCAAGTGTATGCTGGGACCTCTGGAAGAGCAGCCAGTGCTCTAAACCACCGAGTCTGCTCTCCAGTTCCACTTTTTACATTTCTTGATGTGACATGGTATTGGGAAAATACATCTCTCTTCTCTCTAGTGATTACTGTTTCTCCCTTCCAATTTTTTTTTACTTATTTGTGTTACATACTCTTCTCCTTTCTTTAACCAGTTCTTAGTTGCTTTTTCCTTACTCAGTTGGGGGAATTACTTGCTTTGCATTTATAGTTTTCTTGTTTGCTTGTTGTTTAATTTTTTGTAGTGCTGAAGTTAGAACTCAGGGCTTTGATGTGTTGTGCAAACACCTTTATACTGAGCCACGTATGAAACTCAGAGCACTGCACAAAGGCGGTCTTGCATCTCTCTCTCTCTCTCTCTCTCTCTCTCCTCTCTCTCTCTCTCTCTCTCTCTCTCTCTCTCACACACACACACACACACACACACACACACACACACACACAAATAAATAAATAAATGAAAAATTTATTATTAGTACCCTTTTTTCCTGGGAGTCGAGTTTGTACACTTGAGTAAGATTTTTCCTAATTCCTCAACAAACAAGATAGCTGACATTTCTGGAAGGAATTGCTGTTTCTGATTTGGCATTTCTCTTGTGCTCATCTCAGAGACTTGTACCTCACAAAATGCCTTGTGGTTGCTATCACATGATCACAAGGAATCTGAAGTCATACACCCAGTGACAGCTGCTCCCGAAGAGCCCAGTCAGATTAGAGTGATTTTTCTTTAATCTTTCTAAATAATCCCTAAAGGAACCTTTAGGAACACTGTAAGACTGCCCAATGTGGCCCATCTTTAAACCTATGCCTTTTTGTACAAATCCTTTTTGTTTGGTATATTACAAAAGGGAAACACATGCTTATAGCAGAAAAGCATTAAAGAAATTACAATCACTCACAAACTCTCTGCAGAGATAGATGTTTGGTATTTTCTTTCTGGTCCTTTTTTTTTTTTTTTTTTTGAGACAAGGCCTCATAGTCTAGCTGGGCTGGATTTCATACTGTATCTCAAATCATCCTTGAACTCTCAGCAATCCTGCCTCAGTCTCTAAGGGATAGGACTATAGGCATGGGCCTTGCTTAATTTTTTAAAATTGTCTTGCTTACTGCATAAATCAAAGAATTCACCTGCTGGTCACTTATCTCTTACTGAAACCATCTACTTTAGTCTGTGCAAGGACCCTTCCTTTGGTCTTTCATAGTCTTACTGGAAATGAAATGCAGTGGCTTCTTTGAAGAAGTTCTTGTCTGTATCTTGTCGGACTAGTAGGAGGCACATAACACCATGATGTCTTTTTGCTTATAGCAGCCTTCCTTGGAATGTGCTATCCTATCTCATCTGCATGGTTATCATAGCTGTCTTTCCATGCTGTAACTATATCAGACTTTAAAATTATTTATTCAGTTTTGAGTAAAAAATGATGCTTAGGCTAGCCTTCTCTGTCCTTGTTTATTATTTGTGGCATCTGCAGTTTCCCAGTGGTTGTTGATATGTTGTGACTTTACTGTGTACATCTTAGAAAACCCAAGGCTGTTTATCTAGGATCTTACTCCTTCAAAAGGTCATCAGACAGCATTATACAGATATTTCTGCAACAGTGGAAGTGTTGTGTGTATGTGCTACCCAGTAACATGGGCATTAGATATGGCTAATGCAGCTGAGAAACTGATTTTTTTTTTTATTTAAACCTAATAGCAAGGTATATTCCATACACCTGTAATCTCAGCACTCAGGAGGTAAGAGGATTGTGAGTTCAAGGCAAGCCTAGGCTGCATAGTGAGAACCTGTCTCACAAAACAAAATTAAAAACAATGCAGAAAAAGTTACATATATACGTGCATAACTTGAATTCTTCATCTAACTGATGGCTACCATATTGTATTGCACTGATCCAGATTACCCCAGCTGGTTCTATTAGCTCCTCTCCTGGGCAGGGTAGTCTGTTTCTTTTGGTGTGTGTACCCATAGGCTCCACCTCAACCTTTGTTCTGTCTTGTCAGTTGGGTAAGTGGTGGGATCAGGAAGAATGGTATTTTTTTTCTTTTTTTAGTCTTGGGAATCAAACCCAGGGACCTTGAATACACCAAGGCCGGTGCTGTAATAGCCACACCCACCAGCTGCACCTCTGGCTCCTGGGAGAACCGCTTCTAAGATGAGCTTCTTGAGCGTTGTATATCTAGAAAGGCAGTGTTGAGAAAGGCTCTTATTTGCAGCTCCACACCTTCTGGAGGCTGTTGGGGAGAAAAACACATGTGCCATTATGTAACAGTCTAACTAGTAAGAGCTTTTCAGGGACGGGCTTATCCTTTATGAAAAATCAAGTCAGAAGGGTTTTTCTCTCTTTTTCCAAATACATCACCTGTTACCCTTTTTGTACTCTTACGTTGTACTCTTTCAACTTTGGCGGCTTAAACACTGCAGATGTGCCTCTGAATCATTCCACTGATTCCCTCAAGCATTACGATCATATAATCCCCTTCCAGAAGCTTAATGATTTCATTTGGAGCTTTTAGATATGTTGTGCTTTTTTAATGATTCAGTGATTCTTTTCCCTCTTTTTTTCTTATCAGCAATTTCATAGAATATAATTAATATGCCTGTCTATTAAGAACTCCGTTTTGTTTTTCTTTCCTTCTGTAACATTGCTCTTTAGAAAAATTTCATTGATTTTTATTTATGTCTGTGTGTGAGCCTGTCTGTATATGTGCAGTTCCCACAGAGGCCAGAAGAAGGCATTGGATCTCTTGGAACTGGAGTTGCAGGTGATTGTGAGCCACCTAACCTGGATCCTCTGCAAGACAGCAGGTGCTCTTAACTGCTGAGGCATCTCTCCAACCCCTAACATTGCTTTTCTTTTTTCCTTTGTAATTAAGGTTTGTTATGTGTGTGTGTGTGTGTGTGTGTGTGTGTGTGTGTGTGTGTGTATACATATATATACATATATATGTATACACATGTGTATGTAGATATGTGCACAAGTGTGGGAGTGCCTGCAGAGGGCCAGAGGTTTTGGATTTCCTGGAGCTGGAGTTACAGGTAGTTGTGAGCTGCCCCACATGAGTGCCAGAACTGAACTCATGTCCTCTGCATGAGTGGTGTGCATTCTTTTGGTTTTTTACAGATGGTTGTGAGTCACCATGTGGTTGCTGGGTCCTCTGGAAGAGCAGCCAGTGCTCTTAGCCACGTAGCCATCTCTCCAGCCCCTCTTTTGGTTTTTTGAGATAAGGTTTTTCTGTGTAGCCCTGGCTATCCTGGAACTTGCTCTATAGACCAGGCTGGCCTCGAACTCAGAGATTCCTGCCTCTGCCTCCCAAATACTGGGATTAAAGGCATGCCTAGCACAGTGTGCTCTCTTAACTGGGAGCCATCTTCCCAACATTGCTTTTCTTCTTTTTCCTCTTCTTCTTCTTCTTCTTCTTCTTCTTCTTCTTCTTCTTCTTCTTCTTCTTCTTCTTCTTCTTCTTCTTCTTCTTCTTCTTCTCCCCCCTCCCCCTCCCCCTCCCCCCTCCTCCCCCTCCCCTCCCCCTCCCCCCTCCTCCCCCTCCCCCTCCTCCCCCTCCCCCTCCCCCCCTCCTCCCCCTCCCCTCCCCCTCCCCCCTCCCCTCCCCCTCCCCCCTCCTCCCCCTCCCCCCCCTCCTCCCCCTCCCCCTCCCCCCCCTCCCCCTCCCCCCTTCCTCCCCCTCCCCCTTCCCCCCTCCTCCCCCCTCCCCCTCCCCCCTCCCCCTCCCCCTCCCCCCCCCTCCCCCCCTCCCCCCCCTCTTCTTCTTCTTCTTCTTCTTCTTCTTCTTCTTCTTCTTCTTCTTCTTCTTCTTCTTCTTCTTCTTCTTCTTCTTCTTCTTCTTCTTCTTCTTCGGTGCCTGTCCTGGATCTCTCTCTGTAGACCAGGCTGCCCTCAAACTCACAAAGATCCTCCTGGCCTCCCGAGTGCTGGGATTAAAGGCGTGCACCACCGGCTAACATTGCTGTTCTTTTTTTTTTTTTTTTTTTTTTTTTTTTGGTTTTTCGAGACAGGGTTTCTCTGTGTAGCTTTGCGCCCCTGGAACTCGCTTTGGAGACCAGACTGGCCTCGAACTCACAGAGATCCGCCTGGCTCTGCCTCCCGAGTGCTGGGATTAAAGGCGTGCGCCACCACCCGCCCGGCTGACATTGCTGTTCTTAAAGAAATCTAGCTAAAGTTAGATTGGGAATCTTCATTTCTTGGCTTTGTCTTCTTCCCGGTTGTTGCTTTGATTTCTAGATCTGGGAACCTTCTTTCTGTTCTCCATCACTGTTGGTGTGGCCTCCAATGTCTTTCTTTCTAGTTACTTCCACGTGTGTTGAGGATGAGCTTTAGACTGTGGTTCACGTTTCACCCTCTTCCTACACATCCTTACTGCTTTCTTTCCACAGAAGGCACAATATGACAAGATTTGCTGGATGACTAGGCTTTATCTTCATGTTAATCTCACCTCTGAAAATGGGGCCTGCAGTAGCATATCAAACACCCACCCTCTCTCCAAAGCCTTTCAATGGGAATCATTTTAGTTTATGAGAACTAGGAGTCTGCACGTGCACTGCTTTCATTGTGAACTAAATTTACTGCACATTTGGGGAAACTGACTGTGTTTTCTGCCTTCCATTGACAGAATGGCACACGAAACTTCCAGGACTTTGACTGCCAGGTAAGGACTGTACAAGCACCAAAGAGGCTCTGTACAGGGTCCCTACAATGCCTTCCTCCCTGTGCCAGTGGTCTTAGAGAAGTAGATCTTGTATTGTTGTTGTTTGTATTTTGTTTTCTTTTGTTGAAGCAGGGGCTGTAGCCAAGGCTGGCCTTGAACTCATGACAGTGCCTCCTGTTTTACCCTCCCGAGTTCTCGGTTTATAGACATGAGCCACACATCTAGCTAGAAGTGTGCTCATCATACTAATCATGACTCACTAGTGTTCTTTTAGTCATTGGATCAAGTTTATTTAAAATGATTTGCTATCATATTCAAATAGTGCCTTCTAGGAACCTGTCTAATGACTATAGGTTACTTGGTTGAGCTGTCTCTTTGTGACTGAGATCTCCTTCCCCTCAAATGATATCAGAGAACTCATTTGTCACCAGTGATGGAAGGTTGTCACCAGACTGCAGATAAAATAGATGATGGGCAGTTTGGAGAAGAGACATTTTAATAGCAAAATTGTTTCCTAAACCAAAAAACAAACTATTATTAATACAAAATGAAAATTTTTCTTGGCTTTAAAATGTTTGGAAATGCAAAATTTATCCTAACTCAGTATTCTCTTACATGGTACTGTTCTTCATAATCTACTATTGCCAATTTGAAAACCAATAAAAATGAGCCATCCATTCTCTACTCACTGACTTTATCTGTTAACTACCCCAGAAAGAAATCTAAGAAAGGAACACACACAGATATACAGGGAACCTTATAAGCCCACACAGCCTGACTCTCTCACTCTGGGATTTGTGCCGTTGCAACAACATGAAGTCGACTCAAAGGGTATTGGCAGGAAAGGATGGCACTTCAAACTGTACTCCTTGTTTCCAGTATTCAGCCATCCTGCATATCCATCAGCAAAGAGTTATTTTATGTTAAGTACAGTCTTTATAGCATTAGCATCAAAAGGAAAAACCAGTCTATTCAATTCTTGTATAGAAATTTATTTAAAAATAGCTTTTGCATTGGCAAACCAATTCTATTATAATTATTAGTCACCTATGATAGAGTATCTATTAAACAGATGTGATCTTGGAAATGTATGTTTTAGAGAAGCAAAGCAATGTTATAGGATGGTTTTTCTTGTTCCTATTTTCCAAGTGAGGACATGAAGTGATTGGGACTGAAAAACTGGCTCCTCCTGAATCCATTACTTACTTTTCCCCAGATAAGTCCAGAACTAACATGTTTTAAGGAGTCAGCTTGTCCTCAAAGCTGAGGTTATTTGGCAGGTTAGATGAGGCTTGCTGTGCAAGGGCAGGCACTGTCCTTGAGTTTTAGTTCTAGCTGGTTCTTTCTTTTGATAGAATCAGCCTAGTGTGCATGGGAGTCATTTTTACTCAGATTCAAAAAGTCTTTAGAACTTTTGATACTTTGTGACAGTAGAGTCAGTCAAGCTTGAGTTTAGTTGTTTTTAATTTAATCTGACTTTAGTTGTAGTTTAGGTTCTGGTTGAATGGTTGGAGTTGTTTGCTTTTAATATAATTTACCTAGAAGGATGTCATTGAGGTAAGAGTGACAGGGGACTCAGTGTAATGCACTTCAGAAATATTATGTGTGCACTCCTTTCTGAAAGCATGGAAGCACTTGCCTTCATCAGATACCAAAAAGTTAGTAAGTTTAAACCATCCGTTTCTTCTGCTTTGTGTGTGTGTGTGTGTGTGTGTGTGTGTGTGTGTGTGTGTGTTGGGGGTCTTGCACCCCTTTACCCCTGAGCTGGGGATAGAACCCAGGGCCTTGCTCATTCTAGACAAGTACTGTTTTCATATGTAAGTATAAGTATAGATTTAAGTGAAATTAAGTTTAATATTGTTTTAGGGCTTCTCTTGGGGTGGCTTACATATGCAGAGGTTTAGTCCATTATCATCATAGCAGGATATGGTTGTATGCAGGCAGACATGGTGCTGGAGAAGTAGCTGAGTGTCCTATATCTTGACTTGCAGGCAACAGCAAGTGGCCTGTCTCACTGGAAGTAACTTGAGCATATATGAGACCTCAAAGCCTACTACCTCCATAGTGACAACATTTCCTCCAACAGGGCCACATCTACTCCAATAAGGCCACACCTCCCTTTGGAGGCCATTTTCTTTCAAAGCACCGCAAATATTAAGGCTTAAAAATAGTCTAGCAGGGGCCAGTAAAATGGTTCCAGTGTGTAAAAGCCACTTGCGACATAAGCCTGATAAACCTGAGTTCAGTCCCTGGAACCATGCGTAAAGTACACCACGAAGCTGTCTCCTCCGACCTTCAATGTGTTCTGTAGTGTGCATATATACACTGTATGCAAGACACAATAATACTCTAGCAAGGGATCAATGAAATAGTTCAGTGGGTAAAGGCAGTTACTGCCTGATAACCTGAGTTCAATTTCTAAAACCCATTTTTTTTAAAAAGCCATAAGCAGCCAGAAAGATGGCTTAGCAGATAAAGATGCTTACTGCCAAGGCTGACAACCTGAGTTCAATTTCCAGAACCCCACAGAATAGCAGGAGAGACCAAACTCTCACAGGTTGTCTTTTAACTTTCATGTGCGTGTCATGGCATGCCTGCCCCCCACCCCATAAATGTGTAAATATAAATTTATTTACACATAAATATATAAATATTGTAAATGTAATAAACATTTTAGAAAGCCCAGATGCAATGGTATGTATCTATAATCCCATCACTCCTACATCAATACAGGAGACAGAGACAGGAGAATTTAGAAGCTCACAGTCTAGCTAGCCTAGATTATACAGTATAGCAAAAACAGCAAGAGAAACCCTGCCTCAGCAAGCTGAAGGAGAGAATTGACACCTTAACATTGCTCTTTAATCTCCACAAGTGTGCTGTGCAATGCTTGCATCCCCAGAACAACAACAATAATAATAGCTACTACTATATTATTGTTATTATTATTTTATATTGGAACCTCGACTATAACTCAGTGGTAGAGCTCTTGCCTGGCATGTGTGAGGCCCCTGGGTTCAGTCCTCAGCCCTGAAAATCAACAATAAAAAACTATATTCCTGCTTTTCTCTTTTATTATGAAGTCCTGTACTGTTGTGTTACATTTATCTTTGGAACCTTCATATGACATACTTTTTTTTGGAATGTATCTGAATGATAAGAAAGCTTAAACCTTAATTTCACCAATGTGGAAATATATTGGTTTTTGTTGTTGTTGTTGTTGTTTTTCATCTGAAATAGCCTACCAAAAGGTCCTGATACCTTGAGTGAAGCTTTACTATCTTCTGGCATTGTAAAGATCACTTTAGTTGAGATCTGATAGAAAAAGAATGAGAGCAGGTGTTTGTTAAGATCACATGTTTGGTCAGGTGGTGGTGGCACATGCCTTTAATCCCAGCACTCGGGAGGCCAGAGCCAGGAGGATCTCTGTGAGTTCCAGGCTAGCCTGGGCTACTAAGTGAGTTCCAGGAAAGGCCAAAGTTACACAGAGAAACCCTGTCTCGGAAAAAAAAAAAAAAAGAATCACATGTTTGTCACTAGTTCTGGATATATGGAGTAGTCCTGTGTTATAAAGAAAAAACTGACTAGGGATATAGCTTAGTGGTAGAGTGCTTGAAGACCCTAGGTTCAATCCTCAGTCTCCAGCACACACACACACACACACACACACACACACTCTCTCTCTCTCTCTCTCTCTCTCTCTCTCACATACACACACGAAGACCTAAGGCATAGGAACTGTGATGTGAGAAGTCAAAGACGGCCCAGTTTGCCTGAGGCTTCTGTCTTAGTTTGTTTTCTATTATTGTGATAAAGGCCATGACCAAGAGCAACTTGGGGAGGAAAGGGTTTATTTCATTTTACATCTATATCTATATTTTACATTTTATATCATCAGGAGAAACCAAGGTAGAAACTCAAGATAGGAACCTGGAAGCAGGACCCTGAAGCAGAGGCCATGTAGGAGCACAGCTTAACAATTTGTTACCCATGGCTTCCTCAATCTGCTTTCTTTTTTTTCTTTTTTTTTCTTTTTTTTTTTTTTTTTTTGGTTTTTCAAGACAGGGTTTCTCTGTGTAGCTTTGAGCTTTTCCTGGAACTCACTTTGGAGACCAGGCTGGCCTCAAACTCACAGAGATCCGCCTGCCTCTGCCTCCCGAGTGCTGGGATTTAAGGCGTGCGCCACCACCGCCCGGCTCAATCTGCTTTCTTATACAATCCAGGGCACCTACCAGAGGAGGCACAAGCCATAGTGCGCAGCACCCTTCCACAGAAATCATTGATCAAGAAAGTGCCCTACAGAATGCCTACAGGCAAGCTGAATGGAGCCATTTTTCTCAAATGAGGTTCCCATTCCCAGGGAACTCTAAAGTGAGGTTGGTCAAAAAGCTAACTAGGACAGCTTAAATATCTGTGAACACTGTTAAAGAAAGAGAGCAGAACAAATGTCAGCCCAGCATAGTCACTGAACTCAGAGACAGTCCTGTGACATTGGTGGTGTCCACTAGAATAGTGGTGTCAGGGGAGACTGGAGCCATACCAGGGTTTCCTTTGGGTCTTGGTTTTGCCTGAGAACAATTTTTAAAGAATCTGTGATGAAAACCTCAGGGTCATTAACCAAATTCACAACTTCTGTCTAAACAGCCATTTTCTCTTCTGTTGTCTTTACTAATCAACATACAGATCTTTTTCAACAGTGAAAATTAATTATATGTGTGATGTTTCTCTTGATTCCTGTCACAAGTGGTATCATCGCTGTTAAGTCCTCTGAGGCAAACATAGGTATATTGTAGATGTAGAATAGTGAAGGAAGGGGTGATTCCAGTTGACCCGGTTAGAACTGCTAAGAAGGGAGAAAAAGCACTTATTGTGTAATGACAGTGACAAGCCCCTCACTGTCCCCTTTGTCTACTTGGTGCTTCCTATTCTTCTTTCCCATGTGACTACTTAGAAATGTGGAGCGAGAGCTTAAACAGATGTTGTAGCTTCTCTGTGTTGTA